GATAAGGGGGGCCAGGGGCTGCCCAGACCCCTGCCTCAGTCAGAGCTAGGCCCAGCTCTGCAGAGCGTCCAGGCTCAAACAAAAGTCAGTTTTCCTGGAAAGCCTAGCCTGGGAGTTGCAGCCTGTGTCCCAGGACTGGGAAAGCTGCTGTGGAAGAGTGGCGAGTTCAAAGCCTGCTTGGGTTGCAGAATAGATTCAGCCCAAGGAGGCCCTGCTCCAAATAGAAGTAAAGGAGTACTGAGGGCGGTACTCAGGCAAAAGCCTGGCCTGTGTGACAGCAGAAGGGAAGGAAGAGGGCAAGGAGGAGGGAAGGAAGGAGGAAGTAAAAGGGAAGGAAGGGTGGGGAGCAGGGAGGCAGGAGGCCCCTAGGGAGGCAGGGGGCAGGGAGGCAGGGAAGTGGGGGCAGGGCAGAGAGGAGGGGGTATGGGGGGCAGGAGGGCAGGAGGGCAGGAAGGCAAGGGGTCAGGGAGGCAGGGAGGGAGGAAGGACTCACACTGGGTTTTAGCATCCGCCCAACATTGAAGTCATGTATAATAGGGAAGGCAGCATGTGCCCGCCTCCAAGGCCCAACAGGGACACCCCTTAGCCCTTCCAAGGCCCAGACTCTCCAAGTTCTCTGTCAGGGGTAGGGCAGCTCTCAAAGCCCTTCCTCCGCCCTCTGCAGCCCCCCAGTGACAAGGCCGAGTTCTAAGTTATACCAGCCCTAGAGCTACAACACTAACCAAGCAGACACTGCTGGAACAGCTCCTCTAGAGCCACTCACCCCTCCCCACCCCAGGCCCTGCACCTGCTCCTCCAAGGCCCTGGGCACAGCAGTAGAATGGCTTACTTGGATGGAAACCCAACTGTGACATCACGGGTTCCCATGCTTCAGAGGCATCCAGAGTGCTTCCCACACACCCTGCAAGCCTCTACAGAAGGTGTAGAAGCCTCTACACACCCCGGCTCTACAGAACACCATGGCTCCCCACCCCCATCCCCGCCCGCTCTGACCACTGTGAGCCACCTGTTGCTGCTGCCTCAAGACACATGTGACTCACAGGCCTGGGTCACTTGGCCCAGGTCTGCCCACGGCGTCTCCCTGGCTCAGCCCTCACGGTCCGTGATAGCCACGGGGCCCCACTTCGCTGCCCAACACCTCACTTAGTGTCCACCTGTCCATCTCTAATTGAAGTTCCTCGAGAGCAGAAAGCCTTCTGAGTTTTGTCAGGGCTGTTTATGGCTGCCTTACAATCATAAGGACCCATAAGGATTTCCAGTCCCAGAAGCCATACTTAAATAAATAAATAAATAAATAAATAAATAAATAAATAAAATCTGGGAAATTGGATGTAATGGCACAGATCTCTAATCTCAGCACTTGGGAAGCAGGGAGAGGGGGGATCTTTGTGAGGTCCAGGCCAGCCTGGTCTACATAGTGAATTCCTGGACAGCCTGCACTACATAGGGAGACCCTGGCTAGAAACAAACAAGCTGGGAACGGTTGCCTGTGCTTACAATTGCAGCACTGAAGGGGGCAGGGGAAAAGGGCCAGCCAAAGAAACACACCCTGAGCAGAGTCAAAGAAACACACTTTGGCCCTAGAATCAGAGCCAGTGAAAGAAATATGCCCTGGCCCTGAAATTAGAGCCAAAAGGCTTTAAAAGGCCCGTGAAAGAAACACATTTTGGCCCTGAAAACAGAGCCAAATCTGCTCCTGGCCAACCAAGCAGACAACCAACCTGTCCCTGAGCACAAAATCTAGCCAATCTGAACTCAAGGGACTGAAATCTGACCAATCCCCACCCTGGAAATCTTCTCCTTGGGAAAACTCCGCCCCTAAGAAGCCCTATATAGGCCAGGTGGTGCAAACCTTTAATCCCAGCACTCAGGATGCAGAGACAAATGGGTTTCTGTGAGTTTGAGGCCAGCCTGGTCTACTGAGTGAGCTCCAGGACAGGCTACAAAGCTACAGAGAAACCCTATGTGTGTGTGTGGAGGGGGGGTACCTATATAAATTCTGCACCTATATAAACCCTGTTCAGTTTGCTGCTGTCTTTTTCCACCCTGGCAGAGGTAGCCACTCTTCCTTCCCAATAAATCTCTTGAATGAGGTTTGGGTGAGACCTCCCTTAGCTGGAATGTTCACCAGAGCCAGAGCAGAGCAGAGGGGAGTTGTAACACTTTAGCTGGGAAAACCTTCCTGAAGCCAAGCAGAGTTGTTACACTGGGGGGAGCCAAACTGTAACAACTGCTCTGCGCAGCCCTCCCGCTGCCAGAGCTGAGCTGTTACACTGGGGAACCCTTTGCCTGCAGCAGGGCTGTAAGCTGCTATGCTTACTGTGACCCGTGGTATTGTTTACTGTGTGTGACCTGTGGTATTCCTTGGATCCTGACTGCCAGGATACTTTCCCATTCAAGCTGTAATACTTAGAGAGAGAGAGAGAGAGAGAGAGAGAGAGAGAGAGAGAGAGAGAGAGAGAGAGAGAGAGAGAGAGAGAGAGAGAGAGAGAGAGAGGGGGCGGAGAGAGAGATCCCTGGGGCTTGCTGGCCACCCAGCCTAGCTCAGTCAGTGAGCCCCAGAAAAAAAAGTGGGGAGCTGGTGAGGTGGCTCAGTGATTAAGAGCACTGCCTGCATTTCCAGAGGACCCAGGTTCAGTTCCCAGTACCCACGTGATGGCTGGCATACAACTGGTGCAGAGACACCTCTGTAGACAAAATCTCACACACAGTTTTTTTCTCACACACACATACACTCACACACACTCACACACATACACACTCACACACATACACACTCACACACACATACACACTCACACATACACACACTCACACACACTCACACATACACATACTCACACACACATACACATACACTCTCTCTCACACACACACACTACTATAATGATGCTAGGCAATGGTGGTGTACACCTTTAATCCCAGTACTAGGGAGGCAGAGAGAGACAGACAGATCTCTGAGTTCAAGACCAGCCTGGTCTACAAGGTGAGTCCCAGGACAGCCAAGGTTACACAGAGAAACCCTGTGTAGGAAAACAAAACAAAACAAAACAAAAAAACACTATAATGAAGCAAATGAATAAGTTTGGTTTTTGTTTGTTTGTTTGTTTGTTTGTTTGCTTTTTAATGAATGAAAGTCAGGTGACTCCTGGTTCAAAACTGTTTTCTAAACTTACTGGAAGGGCTGGAGGGATGGCTCAGAGGTTAAGAGCACCAGCTGCTCTTTTGGAGGACCCAGGTTGGATGCCCAGCACCCACATGGTAGCTCACAACCACCTGTGGCTCCAGCTCCAGGGGATCCGGTGCCTTTTCTGGCCTCTGAGGACCCTGCACCCACGCAGTGCACAGACGTGCATGCAGGCAAAACACCCATACGGAAAATAAAGAGTAAAAAGTAACATCTATAAAAACTACACAGCAAAGGTAAAGAAACGCTCCCAGTGTCAGCTGGACTTCTTATCATACGGCATCCTCTCTGTCCATGATGCAAAACAAACAGATGACGTCGTCGTCGTCGTCATTACAACCCAGGGTGTGGGAATGTGCTGGGGATGGGGCAGTGGGACAGGGTGGTGGCCCAGGCTCCAGGGTCACAATGCCTGGTGTCCTGAATCCTACATCGACCTCTCCCTGCTGTGTGATTTCACAAAAGTCACTACACCTCTCTGGGCCTGAGTCCTCGATGATAAAAAAAAAAAAAAACAAAGTTCCCAACAGACCTACCTCAGGGAGCTGTGTGGGATTTTGGAAGTATCTGCTACACTGGCAGCATTCCATAAACACCCATTTACTTACATGTGTCAGTACTAATGGGTGCATAGACAGAAACAGTTATAAAGAGGTTTTAGTTTTATTTTTTGTTTATTAGAGTTTTTTGAACCCAGGTTCCTTTATAACTCAAACTGTTCCCAGCTTTACTCTGTAACTAAGACTGCCCTTGAACCCCAAATCCTCCTGCCTCAGCCTCCCAAGTGCTAGGATTACTAAAAATACCACTACATTGGGCAATAAGGAGGCCTTTGGCTAAGATCAGCTGAGTCCAACCTGATATTTATTTATTTATTTATTTATTTATTTTCCTATATTAAGAGATAACTCAGTGACAGTTTGGTACCACCAGCGTGGGCAGCCTCTGGTTAGCAGGCAGGCAGCTATCACCTCCCTGTACCAAGAAGACTTTGAACTCACTCCCTAGACATGGCCTCCCTCACTGGGCCCTGGTAGCTGCTAATTCACTCTGTGTCAAGTTCCAGTAACTCAGAGAGGAGGCTTAGAGAGAAAGAGATTGGTTTGAGGTTCAGAACTGGGCTACCTGCCTCACTGGCCACTGTGCGCCCACACTCTCAAGCTCCCTCCCTACACCTGCCCTGGGCTGTACTCACTGAGTCCGATCTTCGCCAGGTGTAACCTGTTGACCCAGGAAATCTTGCTCAGGGGGTTCGGTGTGATGAAGACCACCATGAAGCTGATGGGGCGGCCAGACCTGTGGAGGGCGAGAGGAGGCAGGACCCCATGAGCGCCCGGTACAGAGGCTCAGCTCCCCAGACCTTGGCTGGCCTTGGCTCTTTTACAGCCCAAGTTCCTGGAGACAGAGAGAGGCCTGTGGCCTGACAAAGCCCCACCCGCTTGGGGAGACCTCCCTCCACCCTCTGTGATGGGCAGGGGGGCCCTGGATAGATAAGCTAAGCCATTCTTGGCAGCCCATTCCCAGACCTCCAACAGCCCTGGCTTTATGCCCAGCTAAGGTCCTGGCATCACCACCTGCCAGAAATCCATGGCTGAAGGAAAGGACCTCACACTGTCTATCTCCAGCACCTAGCACAGGGCAGTCACTCAGGAGATGGTTGCACAGTGGACACACTTGGAAGGAGGGAGGGAGGGAAGGGAGGGATAGAGAAGATGGTCCAGGTTGCCTTAGAGCAGCTGGGGCCCCTTTAGAGTCCTATGAGTAATCCAGACCCCTGGGAGGTGGGCAGGGCTGTGTCTCTCACTCTCTAGGGTGCTGAGGAGAGAGGAGGCAGCAGGGAAGGGGAAAACCTGGCCTGGAGCTCAAGATGCAGACTCCCACACTCAAACACATGGATCCTGCTCTCTCTTCCTCCTCCTCTGGACCTGTTGCCGTGTAGCCACCCTGAGGCCCACACTGAGCATCGAGCACTTCCCTGCACAGGACCCCACCTCCTCTCACAAGCAAAGCCCAGGGGTTCTGAGCCAGTCCCTGGCCCTCCGGCCTCACTTCCTTGTTTGTAAAGTGAGGACACTGAGGGATACCCTACGTAGGGCCAGCTGGACACCTTTCCCTGTTAGTCACTGTCTCCGGACTGCTTCTACACAGAGAGAGGGTCCCACAGCTCCTACGGTGGATCCTGTGAGAAGAGGTCCCTAAATCGGGGAGATCAGGTCTATGAAGAGGATCTGGGATGCCACCGGCTGAGGTGAGCAAAGAGGGTGTGAGGCAGTGGCCTAACTAGAGACTGAATGGCTGAGTTTGCCAATAGAGAACCAAGCTGACCCAGGATGACAGCAAGATGTTCACTCATGTGTGAGGCAGTGGCCTAACTAGAGACTGAATGGTGGAATCTGCCAATAGAGAACCAAGCTGACCCAGGATGACAGCAAGATGTTCACTCATTCATGCATCCATTGTGAAGTACCTACTGTGTGCCAGGTGCTAGCCAGGGCATGGTCCACAGTGGTTGTGTACTCTCTCATCACAGCAGTCCTGACAGGCAGGAGGCCCCAGGCTCTCTCTCTATGAGCACCCCTTCCACTCAGGGACAGTACCCCCATCCCTCCCAGATGCCCCCTTACTTGTCAGGTTTCCCGGGCAGTAGTAGCCTCAGGCGGCACTTGTTGGCTGAGTGGATCTCCTCCTCTTTCACTCGCATCAGCCTCTGCAGGGCCAGGCACCAGTCTTGGGCCACAGTCATGTTCAGATTCTAGTGTTGCGGAGGGATGGGGTCACCACAGTCTCCTGGCTCCCCCAAAACCACACAAAACCTAACACAGTGACAGCACCCAGGGGAATAGGCTAATTTAGCCACACGGGAGGAAATCCCACCTATACTCAGGATGAGAGCCCACCCAGCTGCTGCTGCTTCCTCCAAAGGGGATACCCTCCCCATCTGCAGCCTGGGGCAGAGGTCAGGGAGGATCTGTATGGCCTCCAGCTATTGCACAAGGCCAGATGTCTGCAAAGACTTCTGAGGGGGTCAGGCGGTCCTGGCCTTTACCACTGCTCCCTGCTCAGAGCCAGGGTGCAGAGGAGCACCAAGCCGGGACACCCCCTCACCACCCCCGGGGCCACACCCACCTGGTAAGTGCCATGCAGGGTACTGATAAGCAGGGTGATCTGCTCCACCACTGCCAAGTCCTTCTGCAGGTCCTGAAGCTCCTGGAAGAGGCGCGGCGGGCCCAGGTACACCTTGTCTGGTAGAGAAGACACCGGACTCAGCCTTGGGGCTGGGGGAGGTTAGCATCTGCCGACAGGGAAAAGTAAGCCATGTCCATAGAGAAGAGGCACTGGGAATGCTGGAGGAGACGCACCAGGGAGAGAGGGCCCAGCAGAAGGAAGGTGTCACACCTGGGACGATGCCATAGTCGTGAGGAGGCTCACAAGGACCGTAAGACTAAATCAGCCATGCTTGGAGAACTGAGGAGTCTACAACAGGCCAGAATGTGGAGGGTGTGGCCAAGACAGAGAAGAGCATTGCAAAGGTACTGAGGTTTACTGAGGTAAACAACAAACTGTTCGATGACATATGGGGGACCTGCTATGCAGGGCAGGCAGGGTCCCTGCTCTAATGGGACTTAGGACCCAGGGGAGTGGGCAGCGAGGGAAGGGAGTGAATTAACCAGATGGTAGAGAATGCTTGGGAGAAAGGGACCAGTGTGACAAGCCAGTGGTGGGGACTGAGTGGGCCTAGAGCTCTAATGGTGATACCAGCACAGGGGACACAAGGGTGGGCAGCAAGATACAGAGTGGGAGTGATGGGCAAGGCAGTGCAGAGAAGCCCTTGGGTGTCACCTTGGAACTGGGTGGCACATGCTAGGCCATGGTTTCTCCAGCTGTGTGGCTCAGGCCTCTTTCTGGGCCACTGTGAGCGGCATCCCATGCCCCCTGCATATTGTGACTTTAATGTCACATTCTGCTGAGTGGGGTCAGGGATTTTGAGGACTTGGGGGCTAAGTCAATAGGGATCCAGCGAAGAGCAGGAGCACACGGGATGGTAACGATGCATTGACAGACCGAAAATGTCCAAAGGATGCACACTGGTGGGAAGATGGCAACCCACTTACAGGAAAGCATGCTGCATTTATCCTGACTGTGAGCAGTCTGGGTTCAACAAAACAAAATGTCACCTGTCACAACAAGTTAATAATGCAGACAGGAATTTTATTTATTGTTCTATAGTGTTATTTTTATCCAGTTTGTATTTTGTTTGGGTTTTACTGTTGTTCAAGGGCTAAAAGCACATGTGTTAAATGCAAGGAGCTTTCTGTTTGTCCATATTTGCATAACAATATATTAAAAAACAATCTAAGGCCAACCAAAAATCTACAGAGCCTCTCTCCTTTTAAGGAGGTCAAGCTTGAGGAACACGGCTATTGTGGGACAGAGTTGGGGACACGGGGGTTCCCAGAGCAACAGCCTGGGGTGGGCAAGAAGAAAGGAGTGGAATGGAGTTGAAATATCCAAGGGGGGTGGCCCTACTCTCCCACCTCACTCAGATCTGGAAGGAGACACAGTGGTACCGCCTCAGAGGGCCAGAACAGCTGTCGCAATCATGCCTCAAAATTTCCAGAGTTTCGGGAGCCAGTGAGGCAAGCACCCAGGCAGGGCTGTGGGCAGAGCGGTGGTGAGGAGGGGAAGCGAAACTCAAGTGCCTTATGTTTGAGGAAGATGCTGTGTGCAGTATTCCACTCTGCCAGGCCTGCGGTTTAGTATCTCTGGCCCCCAGGCCCTGGCTGAAACCAAGGTTCCATGCAACCAGCTGTCTGTCATGACAGTGAATACTGTCAACTTGGCAGGATCCAGAATTGCCTAGGAGACACACCTCCGAGCTTTGTGAGGCATTTTCAGATTATGTTAGCTGACGTGGGAAGACCCACTCTGAATGAATGTGGACAGCACGTCCCATGGGCTGTTGCCCTGGACTGAATAAAATGGAGAAAACAAACTGAGCACCAAAATTCACCTCTCCTTGCTTCTGGACTAGGAATGCAATGTGCCCGGTCACGTCCTCCCTACCGTCAGAAATGCAGAAAACTCAGCCTGAGGCCTACAGAGTCCAAGTCCTGGCCCAAGCTCCGGTCACCAGAGACTGGTGAGGAAGAGGAGGAAGACTATCCCTGACACAAACAGCAAGAAAGACAGGCCTGCAGGGGAAGACCCTGCAGCCAAAGGTAGTACACTCCCTTGCCAGGACCCCAGAGAGGCCAGGAGCCATATCAGAGGCCAGGAGGGACGTAAGAGGCAGGCAGATGTCCCTAAGAGGGGCACACAGGCCTCTACCCCAAGAGCATCAGAACACTGAGGTATTAGTGGCATACTACACTACAGACATGCGCCACATCGGAAATAAGCTCGGGGAAGGTGGTGGGAGGGCTAAGGGGACAAAGGAGAAAAGCAGCCCAAGGCCACTGCAGTGGTCCAGAGGCTGGTGTGGCCAGTGTGTTGGCAGAGAGCAGACAGCGAGATGCCACCAGTCAGGATGCTTGTAAGTTGCTCCCCTGTCTCCCAACAGAGTATGAGAACTTGGGTCAGAACAGGGAGACGTGGGCCCAGGGAGGACAGACAGACAGACAGACCTGAGTTCCCTAGCACCCCAGGAAGCACACTAGGGACAAACAGAAGGCACCTGTCCGAGGTCCCACAGGAGGCAGTTAACAGTCAGTTCACGCTTGGCCTCTGCCGCTGTGTGAGCTGTGCGTGAAGGAGTCTAGCCCGGGGTGTGAGGCAGCAGTGAGAACACAGGGGCACACAAGGCAAGTGAAGCCACGGCTCTCACTGCGGTGCCACAGCAAGAGTCTCAGGGCCAGCCCCCACCAGTTTGTGGTCCCTGGCACAGGTCATGAGGGCAGCAGCCAGGCAGTACTCACTCTGCGCCTGCCCTGCGGCCGTGGCCTTCTTGGCGCCAGCATGCTGGATGAGCAGATTGTCCTTGTCATAGGCACCGCCGTCCTGGCCCACTTCCACCACCTGCACCTGGGGCAGCGCCGTGTTCCACTTTACCACATACTTGGGCCCCAGAGGCACCAGGCTGCTGATCTCCAGCTGGCCCCTGCAGGACAGAGAGGAGCCTTGGAGATTCTGCTGCAGCCCAGTGCAGAGGCAGCACAGCTCCCAGCACCTCAGCTTAGCCAGGCTCCAGACAGCCCAAGCATGGGACCTCAGGCCCAAACCAAGCCAGGCCACGCAGTGCAGGAAACCCACACCAAGGCATTGCACCGGGGAGCCCAGGCCCAGAACCAGAGTCACATGCCTGAGTCCCCAAGCCACAAGCCACCTACCTGTGGTTGGAGGGCCTGGAGAAAAGACAAGAAGGATAGGTGTTATTGGACGGCGCATTCCTGTGTGACTGAGAACTCTGGGGGCCAGCACTGGCCTGGGCAGCTCCAGAGTGGGAGGCATGGCCACAGAGGCCAGGTGTGAACTGAGGGAACCATACAGAAAGCCTCCCTGGGGCTCAACCAATTCTTACAGCCACCTCCCCAGTGGCTTCAGGATCCCAGACAGGAGACTGATACTCAGCAAAGTTAAGTGACTCAGCCAAATTTGCAAACTGGTGTTCCCAAACTTGAATGCTAGCTCCCCATTCTTCACACGTGATCAACTGTGAACAACATAAGGCTGAGAAGGGCAGTGGTCTGGTCCTGGCCCTGGTGGATGTCTAGACATATCGAGACCTAAGATTCATAGTACCTGGGATTGGCGTGATGACTCAGGGGATAAAGGTACTTGCCACCAAACCTGATGGCCTGAATTTGATCCCCAAGATCCAAATAGTAGGAAGAGTAAAAACTGAATCCCAAAGTTGTACTCTGACCTACACACACACACACACACACACACACACACACACACACACACAATGTTTAAAAAAGTTTTCAGAAAGATTCAGAGCACTTGGAGATGGATGGATGGATGAATGAATGAATGAATGAATGA